GCCCATCCCCGGCCAGCGCTGCGCAGTTAGGGTCCTGCAACTGCCCCCGGGTGGAGGGCACCGAGGTTCCCACGCTCCGGCCGGGGATCGGGGGCGTTCTCAGGCCGGCGTGGCCGCGCTCCTCACCGCCGCCGAGGCCGGGCTGTAATTAGGATAATTGCGCGGCTCCGCGCCTGGGGCAGTTGCAGGACCCTAACTGCGCAGCGCTGGCCGGGGATGGGCAGGGACAGTGAGGGGGGCGGGGGCTGAAAGTGTCGCAGCCTGGTCCTCCAGACAGGTGAGTCAGAACACCTGAGTGGGCCCAATCGGGAAGGGACTTCTGAAGCCCTCTTTGTGGGGAAATAAGGGTAAAAAGAGAGGCAGCCTACTGTGTGCTCAGAGGCAGTGCTGAGGGGCAGCATAGCGTGGGTAAAGTCTATGAGCAGAAAGGGACATCAATCCTGACCCGTGGGGTCCTGCCAGAGAGGTGCTCACAACACAAACAAATATCCCAAACTGGCAATTTAACTGGTGGGCATCAGGAAACCCAGAAAGGTTGAATAGTCAATATGTCTCTACAGGTGTTGGCTTTGTTCCTTGGAGTATCCCAAATTCACTACACTAGGCAGTCCACCTCTGATCCGTAGGTTCTGGACTGGTCTGTTCAAAACCAGCCCCAGCCTGACTTGCTGAGCACATGCCTAGCACTTAGGGTGTGGAGGGAGAGGAGGAAAGGGATCCAGCATGGGAGATTCAACCTATCTTGAAAGACTACCATCACTCGCAAGAAAGAGAGAGAGAGGGAGTGGGGAGAGAGAGAGAGAATATGTGAACCTGGGCCCTTCTCAGTGGCACACATTTGTAATCTGGGCACTTGGGAGACTGAGGCAGGGGGATTCTCTAGAGTTTGAAGGCAGCCTCATGTACACAGCAAGAACGGATCTCAACAAACAAAACACATATAAATACATTAAAAAAAAACTTCCAAGGGGAGAGAAGAACTCTATTTCAAGATCTAAACCTATACTCAACCCAAACCTTAACCTTGCACCATACCTAACTCCCAAGTTAATCTTGCCCTCTGCCTCTGCCTAGTTCCCAACCTTCTCTGGCATGAGCCTCGCTCTTGCTCCGTCCCAGACAGCCTTCTATCTGCAGCTGTTTCAAGCTGTTCTTTGTGAATGAGCACACTGAGTTCAGAATATCCTGTTTCCAAAGCCACCTAGCAAACCCCTCTCATGCCCAAGGTCAGTCACAAGCTCCCTCCCAGGACCACCTCATCCCCTGGCCAAGTGGACTCTTTTTGGGTTCTGGCTTGCATAGAATACAGGGATGGACTCTAGGAGCAAAATTCTAAGTACAATTACTAAGTGTGAATGAGTGGGTGAATGGATGAATGGAAGAATGAGGAAGTAAATGAATGGGAGAATAAAGGAGTGAATGAATTATTAAAGAAGCCAATGAATAGCTGCGTTCTGAGGGCAAATGCTAATACCCGGTCTGGATCCCTTCCCAGGGAACAATTAGAAAGACCAAGATTTCTATATCCCCAAATGCCTTGAGATTGGTGCATGTGTGTATATGAGTGGTGTATATGAGTGTATGAGTGTGTGTGAGTGTATGTGTGTGCATGTGTGAGTGTATGAGGGTGTGAGTGTATGCATGTGCATGTGTATGAGTGTGTGCATGTGAGTGTATGAGTGTGTGTGAATGTATGTGTGTGCATGTGTGAGTTATGAGTGTGTG